CCCGAGTTCAAGTGTTTCTCCTGCCTCAGCCTCCAGAGTAGCTGGGACTACAGGCATGTGTCACCATGCCTGGCTAATTTTTTGTATTTTTAGTAGAGAGACAGGGTTTCACCATGTTAGCCAGGATGGTCTCGATCTCCTGACCTTGTGACCCACCCGCCTCGGCCTCCCAAAGTGCTGGGATTACAAGCGTGGGCCACCACACCTGGCCACAGTTATTTTTTAAATTAACCTTTTAGTTTATCTCTTTCCCTAAATTATAACCTCTTTTTATTTCTCCAGAATGACTAGAAAGGGTCTTTGCATTGAATAGACACTAATAAGTAACTACTGATTGATTAACCAAAAAAATCATCGCTTATGTACTTAAAATTGTCATTAAGAATGCTAAGATTAGGCTGGGCATGGTGGCTCATGTCTGTAATCCCAGCACTTTGGGAGGCCAAGACAGGTGGATCACCTGAGGTCAAGAGTTTGAGATCAGCCTGGCCAACATGGTGAAACCCTTTGTCTACTAAAAACACATAAAATTAGTCAGGCATGGTGGTGGGTGCCTGTAATCCCAGCTAGTTGGGAGGCTGAGCAGGAGAAACTGCTTGAACCCAAGAGGCAAAGGTTCCAGTGAGCCAAGATCACATTATTGCACTCCAGCCTGGGAGGCAGAGCAAGACTATGTCTTTAAAAAAAAAAAAAAAAGAATGCTAAGATTATATTTACAGGAATAAAGTAGAACGTTGTGAGCAGAAGACAACACGTCTATTTACCATGCTACTTTTATTACCTAGTTCCAGGAGGAACAAATACTACATACAGTCAATGTTTATGCCAATCCAGAAAGCAGTAGGGTTGATGGCAATCACTCCCTTATAAAAATACAAAGGCAAATTTTAGAATAAGATCTTATTATAGTCACTGAGAATTATATGGAAAAAAAACTGGACTTGAATTCTGAAAACTTAGATCTGAATCAAGGTTCTACCACCTGTTGTGTACTTTGGTAAATTACTTTCACCTTTGAGCCTTTTTTCTCATCTACAAAATTAAGACTTCAAACTTCACAAGATCATAAAGAAGAAATTAAAAATGCATATTCATCTAGTGCGGCATCTAGTATAGACTCAATAATATATTTGCTTTTTGCCTATTCATCCATTCACCCAAATACACCCATAAAGCAACACAATAGAGATATTGTAAACTACAGAAAAATGTTTCTTTTGCAAATTTTAGTTACGAAGATACTTTTTTCCTTCAAATGGTTGTCATTAGGACAAATCTATGTTCACTTTTTGGAAGGTCATCATATATTATTTTTTGTTGTAGTGTAAGCACACATTTAAGACCAAATAAATCTATCTTGCAATCATGGGGCACATAGACACTATGGTTTTGTACATTTGTCTAATTGCATCATAGTATATACTCTATTTCTAGTTCCAGCATTATCTTTTTTTTCTTTTTTTGAGATGGAGTCTTGCTCTGTTGCCCAGCTGGAGTGCAGTGGCATGATTTTGGCTCACTGCAACTTCTGCCTCCCAGGTTCAAGTGATTCTCCTGCCTCAGCCTCTCAAGTAGCTGGGATTACAGGCATCCACCAACACGCCCAGCTAATTTTTTGTATTTTTAGTAGAGACAGGGTTTCACTATGTTGGCCAGGCTGGTGTCAAACTCCTGACCTCAAGTGATCTGCCCACCCTAGCCTCCCAAAGTGCTAGGATTACAGGCATGAGCCACTTAGCCTCCCAAAGTGCTAAGATTACAGGCGTGAGTTCCAGCATTACTTTATCACACATTAGATAATTACTTGTATAAAAGCTCAGTCTCAATAATAAAGTCTATAGATACTGTACAATAGGCCCCATTGTATCTGCAGGTTCTATATCCACAGATTCAACCAATCATGGACTGAAAATTAAAAAAATAAATAAATAAAAGGTAACATTATATCAATTTAAAAAAATTCAAAGATAACAATAATACAATATAACCACTATTTATAAAGTATTACATTGCACTAGGTGTTACAAGTAGAGATGATTTAAAATGCTTGAGAACATGTATGTAGGTTATATGCAAACAGCATGCCATTTTATATAACGGAGTTGAGCAACCATGGATTTTGTTATCTGTGGGGGTCCTGGAACTAATCTCCTACAGATACCAAGGGACAACTGTTTTCTAGAAGAAAGATAAGGTAGAGAATATCTTTTATTTTTATTTTATTTTTTTAGAAACAGGGTCTTGCTCTGTAACCATGTGATCATAGCTCGCTGCGCCTCAAACTCCTGGAGGTTCAAGGCATCCTTCTGCTTTAGCCTTCTGAGTAGCTGGGACGACATGCATGCACCACTGTGCTTGGCTAATTTTTTTTTTTTTTTTTTTGAGGCAGGGTCTTGCTATGTTGCTCAGGCTAGTCTTGAACTCCTGCACTCAAGTGATTCTCCCATATCAGTCTTCCAAAGTGCTAGGATTACGGCATGAGCCACTGTACTCAGCCCTGGCTAACTTGCTTATTTTTTATTTTTTGTACAAGCAGGGTGTCGCTGTGTTACCCAGGCTGGTCTTAAAACTCTAGCCTCAATTGATTCTCACACCTTGGTCTTCCAAAGTGTTGGGGTTACAGGTGTGAGTCACTGTGCCAGGATGGGGAGATCTTAAAGAAAGGGCTGCAGTTGGGAATCTTGGGTTCTACTTGTGGTTGTCACTCTCTCTTATTAGACTTCTAATGAGGCATGTAACTTCAGTTTCTCTATACCTTATTATTATTATACACTTAGAACTGGTGTGATGTGATCTCTCAATAATACTGTAACACTTAATTGGTATCTATAACAAAATTTGAAATACATAGATGTTTCTACAGAAATGCAAAGTACTCAGCTTATCGGTGTTTCTTTTTGTGTGCTGACTAAATTTAATATTAAATTTGTAGTAACATTTAATTTTAATTTTGATTTCTTTACCTACTTCCTAGTGAAACACAGGAACACCTAAAACCTTAAGAAACAAAAACAGGCTAGCTGCGGTGGCTCACGCCTTTAATCCCAGCACTTTGGGAGGCCAAGGTAGGTGAATCACTTGAAGTCAAGAGTTTGAGACTAGCCTGGCCAACATGGTAAAACCCCACCTCCACTAAAAATACAAAAAATTAGCTGGGCATGGTGGCACATACCAGTAATCCCAGCTACTCAGAGGTCAAGACAGGAGAATCGCTTGAGCCTGGGAGGCGGATCACACCACTGCACTCCAGCCTGGGTGACAGAACAAGACTTTGTCTAAAAAAAAAAAAAAAAAGTGCTGCATTAAAACGTAATTTTATAAACAAAATGAAAAAAAGCAATTTCTTCACATTTGATTTTAGAGACAATTACTTATATACACGAAGTTTTGGTCAGGTACCCTGTAGGGTGACCAAACCAAATCCCACCTTGCCTGGATCTACCTAGTTTAGGTACTGAAAATTCCATGTCCCAGGAAACCCGTGTCCTGAGCCAACTGGTAGAGTTGATACAGTTGGCTTTTCCATAGCTTACAGTTTTATTATCTGTCATTAGAAAAATTCCAGTGCTAGCCAGGTGCAGTGGCCCACGCCTGTAATCCCAGTACTTCAGGAGGCCAAGGTGGGCAAATCACGAGATCAGGAGTTCAACACCAGCCTGGCCAACATAGTGAAACCCTGTCTCCATTAAAAATACAAAAAATTAGCAGGGCGTGGTGGTGGGCACCTGTAATCCCAGTTACTTGGGAGGCTGAAGCAGGAGAATTGCTTGAACCCGGGAGATGGAGGTTGTAGTGAGCCGAGATCGTGCCACTGCACTCCAGCCCAGGTGACAGTGTGAGACTCCATCTCAAAAAAAAAAAAAAAAAAAAGAAGAAAAATTCCAGTGCTATTGTAATTTATATGTATCTGAAAAGCACCTGCATATTCTTCCTGTTGGTATTCAGTACATAATCATTTGGTTAGCATATAAACATTTATGGAATTTTGCCCCATGAGTAGATATTTTATAGATGTATACCAATATTTTTTGACCTTACAAGGACCTGGGGACAATGGGAGTGCCAAATTAACAACGATAATTATCTTGTCACCAAAAAGGTGTTAATTGGTGTATTTTCTTTTTCAAGAACCTTTTCTTGTTGTTGTTTAAAGACTACTGTGCTTCTAGCTAGTAATCACCATAGCTGGGAAAACAATAACACAGGCAATACCTTTAAGAACAAGTCATTAAAAAACAAAACAAAATAATGTATGTGGGTCATCCCTTGGCCAATGTGGGGCCAGAGAGAAGTTGTTCTACTGGTTTTCCTTAAATAGCACCATAACCTAACCTGAATCTAGGATGGTTTCTAAAATATGTATAGAACGAATGTTAACTAATTCGTTCTCTAAAAATATGTATAGAACTATACATATAGTTCTATAGTTCTATACATATTTTTATAGAACAAATTAAATATGTACAGAAAATGTTAACTAACCATCAAACCATGGTTACCATGGTTTAGCAATGGTAGGAGACCCAAAAATTCAGAAGCACTGTAATACTGTTTGTGATATTAATAAAAAATGAGGTCATGAGATCATGGAAAAGGTTTCTGAGAAAAATATCCCACCAATTTTATTCACTAGAAAATGGGAATAACACAGGCTGTGTACATATAAGCATAATTAAAATAAAACTGATTAGGCCAGTTGCAGTGGCTCACACCTGTAATTCCAGCACTTTGGAAGGCCAAGGTGGGTGGATCACGAGGTTAGAGTTCCAGACCAGCCTGACCAACAAGGTGAAACCTTGTCTCTACTAAAAATACAAAAACTAGCTGGGTGTGGTGGCATGTGCCTGTCGTCCCAGCTGCTTGGGAGGCTGATGCAGAAGTGCTTGAACCTGGGAGGCGGAAGTTGCAGTGAGCTGAGATGGGGCCACTGCACTCCAGCCAGGGCGACGGAGCAAGACTCTGTCTCAAAAAAAAAAAAAAGGAAACTAGACCTATCAGTATTGACGTTAAAAGCTTTACTTTGTAAGTCCTGAGGTTACTTTATCAAATCTGATTATCAGTATTTTAAAACTTACAAAATGGAGAAATTGATAGAGGCTTTTAAACATTATAATGGAATTTTTCACTTTTCAAAATCAATTTCCAAAGGGAACCTATAGGTTGAACAGTAAGATGTGTCAACAAATCAGGGATTTAGATTTTAAAAGGTTTTCAATCTGACCAATACTTCAGATTATCTCAAGAGGGAGCCTTCTTATGTCTCTCCTTCCCTCAGAACACTCTTCTGGCCCTCATGACTTGTTTACAAAGATTTAAGCCCACTGGTAGAAAGGCATAAAATGCTCTTACTGACATGACCCCTAACTTGCCTAATATTTTGCCATCTACCATCCACGCACTTTAAGCTCCCGAAACTATTAATTACTTGACACACTTTCTGCGCTGTTGCCAGTTCTCTTCGGCTAGACCATCTTCTCCACCTTCTCTGTTGAACTCCTAGCCATTCATCAACACTCAGCTCACACAGCACACTTCCATATGACTCAAGCATTATCTCTCTGGCTACATTTAGTCCCTGCAGGTTTTTCTATTACTGCCTGCAATTTGTTGAAGCATTCGTGTCTTTTACGTACTATATAGTATACAATACACATGCATTACAAAGCATTTTTATAACTGATGTTTTAAGGCAGCCAGCGGCTAAAACAGGGCAAGGGTTCGGTGGTCTTGGGCAAGTCCCTTTTCCTTTTCGACCTTCAGGTTCCTCAGGTGTAAAATGGGTACTATGGCTCCGCGAGGGTGAGAATATATGTAAAGCCCTTACACAGTGCCCAGTTCATGAAAACCATCGTTGTTTACATCGTTTAGGGCCCTCAAGAGGGGCTCTTGTCAGCGGAGTTGAGGAAATGCCCCTTTAAAATGACGTCATTATAGGACACTTAAAAACCACCACACGTCTGTACAAGTGGACAGTATCACACAGCTACCTAAAGTGGGTTCGCCTGTCACACAGTTTTGGGGTTCCACTTACAACAGGTTTCCATCAGTAGGCAAGGGAACAGAAATTTTAGCGGCTGAGGGCTTCCCGGGATTACCGCAGGGCGGCGGGAAGCGCCTTTACGGCCGGGTGGGAAGGCCGCATCCCCACGGGACTACGTGAGGGCCTATGGCCTGCGGCAAAAACCACCACCACCTAGACGGCCAGGGGTCCCTGTCTCGGTGACTGGTGACCTGGAGACCGCAATCTCTTCACATGAAAGGTCTACGGGTTTCCACCCAGCCCACACAGCCGCAGCGGAACGAACCGGGAAGGCAATTCCCGCGCAGTTCTGCTCCGGTCCAAGGCCCAGGAAGACCGGACCGTGGGGTCTCCTCGCGCTCCACGCAGGGGCGGCGGGGCGGGGCGCAGTGACGCAAAAAAGAGTGACGCGACGGCGCAGCGCGACGCGGTGACGCACGCCCCTTTGTTGGCTCAGTAGCGATAGCAGCGGCCGTGGAGGTGGCGCTGGGGACTGTTTCCTCTCGGAGCCCGGAGCGGAGCCGTGACTGACTGAGGCGGGCAGCAAGCGGCCCCCTCGCTCCCTCCCTCTCTCCTCCGCGCCCTCCCCGCCGCCACCAGCCGCCAGCCGCCGCTCCTGGGGAGGCGCCGCGGCCCGTGGGGCCGGAGCCAGGCCTGCGTCCGGACATTAGCCGGAGCCGGAGCGAGAGCCGGGGCCTCGGCGTCCCCGCCCTCTCCCCGCCTCGGCCAGCGTCCGCCGGGCGTCCGCGCGTCGCGCCATGGACTCGGACGAGGGCTACAACTACGAGTTCGACGAGGACGAGGAGTGCAGTGAGGAGGACAGCGGCGCCGAGGAGGAGGAGGACGAAGACGACGACGAGCCGGACGACGATAACCTGGATCTGGGCGAGGTGGAGCTGGTGGAGCCCGGGTTGGGCGTCGGCGGGGAGCGGGACGGACTGCTGTGCGGGGAGACGGGCGGCGGCGGCGGCAGCGCTCTGGGGCCCGGCGGTGGCGGCGGCGGCGGCGGCGGCGGCGGTGGCGGCGGGCCGGGGCACGAGCAGGAGGAGGATTACCGCTACGAGGTGCTCACGGCCGAGCAGATTCTACAACACATGGTGGAATGTATCCGGGAGGTCAACGAGGTCATCCAGGTGAGGGTGGCCGCCGCGTCAGCTGAACCGGGCCCGACGGGGGAGCGGATTCGGGCGGCCCGCGCGGTCCCGAGGGACAGGCCTGGGCCTGGTGCGCAACCCAGCCGGGTGCCTCCCGGCCTTGTCTTCTCCGCTGCCTCTGCTGGGGCTAGAGGGTGTCGAAAGCAGAGGTTCGCTGGTTATCCGAGTGTGGGGAGGTGCGCTGGGGGCGGTGCTACCCAAGTCCTGCTATGGCGGAGGGCTTCGGCCGCCTAAGCCTTCTCTTGCGGGCAATTTCTGCCAGTCTCCGGGCCCTGTGTCCTTCCTCTGGCCGATCGAGCGCCTGCTGGGGCGGGGCGGAGGAGTGGGGTGGGATGGGGAAGAGGAGTCAGGAAGAATTGGGCCCCGACGAGGCTTACCCCGGCCTTAGCCTCATTTGAGCACTTTTGGAAAGGATTAGGGTAGGCCTAAGAGCAGCTTGGTGTACAGTTGCCCCAAGTGGGCACCAGTTAATAAAGAAATGGATCTTCTTGGCAGTCTCAAGTGCCTACTTAAAGGTGGGGGAAGGGAACTATTTCTCGGAAGAGGTGCTGATGGGCCGCCTTTTCAGATGTTGCGGCTTCTGCTCACATCTTTTTTACGTCTTTGCTGTTTGTGACCTAACTGCTACTTTTTCTAGTCGTAGCATATGACTTACTTGAAGCTGTTGGAATAGTTAACTGCATATTGCATACCCATCCTTGTAGCTAAAACAACAACAAAACGCAGTGTTGTCTAATATTGAACAACACTCTATTGTGAGTTAGAAAGCAGAGGCTTTCTGCCTCTGCACTCCTTTCTCTAATATTTTCTATTTCGTAGTAAGTTTGGCTTGGTGTAAATTGATAGCTACATCTCATTTAACCATGTGTGTTAAATGTCAGATTTTTGCATTTTTGTATTTTCGAGCTTCAGAAAATCAAGTTTTCATTTGTTTGGGGGAAAAAAACCTACTTGTCCTGAGGAATCAGGGATAGAGATGAAGAATAAAAATGAAGCTTGGTTCAGTGCAACTTTTAGAAAACCTGGAAACGAGTTACTATTGCTTCTTGCATGTCAGTCATTATTTCTTTAACTTAAATTGGTTGGCTCAATATTCATTGACAAATTAGAAGTATGTTACTGGCTACTCGTTGACTTTACATTGTTAACAGATTTTTATAGTATTATAAGTAACAGTTTTAAAAATTAAACCTATTCAGGCAATGTTTGAATACAGTGTTTTGCATGATAAGAAAAATCTCTGATATGTAGAGCTGTTCCTAAATAGTGGAAGTCTTAGTTTTTAATATAAAGAACATAGTCTAAGAAGGAAGTTGAGGATTGTAGAAGAGACACACACACACACACACACACACACACACAGATGTGTGTGTATATATATATATACATATATATATATAATTTTTTTTTTTTTTGAGACGGAGTCTCGCTCTGTTGCCTCAGCCTCCCGAGTAGCTGGGACTGCACATGCGCGCCACCATGCCCGGCTAATTTTTTGTATTTTTAGTAGAGTTGGGTTTCGCCATGCTGGCCAGACTGGTTTCGAACCCCTAACCTCGTGATCCACCCGCCTTGGCCTCCCAAAGTGCTGGGATTACAGGCTTGAGCCACTGCACCCAGTCTGTAGAAGATAAATTTTAAAGCTATTTTATTGATTCTAAAAATATGACAATTGAGTTCTTAGGTAACTAAATTGAGAACTTTTTTCTTTTTTTTTTTTTAAGGGAACTTCATTAAAATAATTTGCAGTAAAACTGAATGGTCTTTTCATTTTTCTGCAGCTATATAAAATCTGTCCTCAAATTTATCACCTAGCTTACTGGCATTTGAATTAGCTTTTTAAAAAATCATGCTTATTCATTATTTAACTTTTTGACTTATTTACATTCTGTTTTCTTAGAGTTAAACATCATCAGCTTAGTTGTGTCCTAATCATTGAGGCCAAAAAGTTGTGTGTCACTTCTGCAACAGAAATATAGCTAATACATACGACATCATTCTTTATTAGCTTAGGTGAGAGAAAATAAATGCCGATGAAATGAACTAATAAGACCTACAAAAAACTAGGGGTTTTTTTTTTTTTTTTTTTTGGTGCCCTACTTTTACCATGTTTCCATGCCAGATGTTTGGGAAAACTCTTTTTCTAGTGTATTTCACCATAAGGATGCTCTTAATAGAATTCCTGAACATAAAAGTTATGGCCATACCTTGTTAAAATAAAATTTAGAAATAGCAGTAAATCAAAGTGTAGGATGTATCCCAGACCAGCTCTTCTCTGACTGGTATACAGTAATTACTAGGTCTAAATTAGGCTTTTGTTATGTTGCAAGTTAATAGATTGAGACTTTAGTCACACAGGTAACGCATGCACATGTAAGAAAAATCTGATTAGGTAAGAAAAAATAAAAAGATAAAATAAGCCTGCCACCCAGAGACCTACACCAAAAAGTGAACTGTAGTTATTTTTCTAGACCTTTGGATAGCCATTAATATGGTTCCACATTAATAACAGTGGAACCATACTGTATGTTCTTTTTGTGTTTTCAGTGGTAAAACATTACAAAAACATTTTCTGAACAACCTTCTTCTGTCAGGTAACTTTTTCAAGAGCTTATATGATTATAGATCTAAACTAATTTATTTAATCTGTTATTTTCTAGTTTCTGGCTTTTATAAACATCATTGAAAATATCCTCATAAGTCAGTCTTTGAGTGTTCTTATTTTCTTGGGAAAAGGAGAAGTGCTGAGTCAAAAGAATTTGCTCATTTTCAAGGCAGTTGATTCATACCACTACATTGCTTTCAGAAAGGTTATGCTAGTTTTCCCAACCAGTCGGTGTTTCGCAAAAACAAAAAAACAACTGATGAGATTGAAGTTTATCACGTTTATTGGGCGTGGTATTTTTAAATTGCCCCTTGCCTTTTGTTCATTTTATCCTCTTTTGCCCATTGCCCCCGTTTGGGATATTTATCTCTTACTGAAGACTTCTTTGTATTAACAGAGGTTGGAAATACCAGTTATCTAGGTTTTTAATGTTGGTTTGATAAACATGTTTTACCAAGTTAAAAAACACTGAGTTTTATTTAGTTTGCATTAGAGAGCTTACTGTTAACCCTACAAATTTAAATTCCCTGTTCCCAGTTCTGATTTTTAATATGAAATCGGGTAAGATACGTTTGAAGGCAAAAAAGTTTGAAAGATCACCAAATTAACTTAATCTTTCCTTGGGAATTTGATTATTTTTTCTGGGAGAGGAGTTCTGGGGCAACAATATAAATACTCTTATTTGTGGATATCTGTAGCTTAGGTTTACGTTTCAAATAAGTCAACATTATTTTTCTTTTAGAAAGCTCTTGGTTTTCTGTAACTTCCCAATTAGCATTTAAATAAAAGACCAAATTAAACATACTAGTATGTTTAGTAGCCACTTTGTGGCTACCTGGCTTACCTTTTGAGCTTTTAACAACAACAACAAAAAATCAGAGTTTTTCTTTTGCTTTGTTTGGAGACAGTCTTGCTCCGTTGCTCAGGCTGGGTGGAGTGTAGTGGCATATCTCCACTTACTTCGACCTTCGCCTCGTAGGTTCAAGAGATACTCCTGCCTCAGCTTCCCCCCGCCCAACCCTCCAAGCTAGTTTTTGTATTTTGTAGAGACTGTTTCACCAGGTTGGCCATGCTGGTCTTGAACTCCCAGCCTCAAGTGATCTGCCCACCTTGCCCTCCCAAAGTACTGGGATTACAGGTGTGAGCCACCACTCCAAGCCAGGGTTGTTGTTTTTTTTTTAAATCTTAACCAGTATTGCTATTATTAAAAAATGGTTTTCTTTCTTTTTTCTTTTTTTTTGAAACAGAGTTTCACTGTGCTGCCCAGGCTAGAGTGCAGTGGTGCGATTTCAGCTCACTGCAACCTCTGCCTTCCAGGTTCAAACAATTCTCCTGCCTCAGCCTCGTGAGTAGCTGGGATTACAGGCATGCACCACCTTACCCAGCTAATTTTGTATTTTTAGTAGAGACGGGGGCGGGGGTTGGTTCTCCATGTTGGTCAGACTGGTCGCGAACTGCTGACCTCAGGTGATCTGCATCACCGCCCCCTCCCCCCCCACCTCCCAGAGTGCTGGGATAACAGGTGTGAGCCACTGTGCCCTAGCCTTGTTTTGTTTTTAATCTGGGACTGAAAATGAGGGAGTTGAAATACTAGTTTGGTCCTTTTCTACGTTTAGTGTTTTGTTTAACATCATTTTTAAAACCTGAGTTAATTGGAGATGTTTGCTTTTCCAAGAAATTGAATTCAGGTGTGCATATCATGGTTCATTTAAATTGATTAATTGGGAGAGGAGGAAGAGGACGTGAAAGCCTGAACATGATGTGTGCAGGCACACATGTTTTGAAGTTATTAAAGTGTTTGGTATAGTTTAGATGTATTATTCTTGAACTTTTATCTTTTCCCAGCTGATCTCCTTGAGCTGTAAGCTTAAATTATACCAAGACTTGTTGACTTGCTATGGCAGTAGTCTTATGAATCAAACTCTGGGGATAGGGTCCTGCAGTCTGTTTTAACAAGCCTTCAGGGGTGATGTGATACAAGCTAAAGTTTGAGAACCAATGATGTAGTTGACAGCAGTTTTTCTCTGTGTGTTATGTCTAGTGATAAATTACTACAGTGGTGGCTTAATGAGGGAAGGGAAGTTTAAGAAACTAATAGGGGGCCAGGAACAGTGGCTCATGCCTGTAATCCCAGCACTTTGGGAGGCTGAACCAGGCAAATCACTTGAGGTCTGGAGTTCGAGACCAGCCTGGCCAACCTGGTGAAACTCCGTTTCTACTAAAAACACAAATATTAGCTGGGTGCCTGTAATCCCATCTACTTGGGAGACTGAGGGAAGAGAATTGCTTGAACCTGGGAAGTAGAGGTTGCAGTGAGCTGAGATCATACCACTGCACTCTAGCCTGGGTGACAGAGGGAGACTCACTCAAAAAGTAATAATGGGAAAATTTCCAGAACCCAGGCAACACTTATTGGCTAATCATAGGGTTGGAAGGTGTTTGTCATTGTAGCTGTTATCCTTCAGCTAAGGTGGTCTTTACTCAGTATTTTCTTTCTTTTTTGGAGACAGAGTCTCTCTCTATGTGTCACCCAGGCTGGAGTTCAGTGGCAAAATCTCAGCTCACTGCAACCTCTGCCTCCCTGGTTCAAGTGATTTTCCTGCCTTAGCCTCCCAAGTAGCTGGGATTATAGGCGCCCCCACTACACTCGGCTAATTTTGATTTTTAGTAGCGATGCGGTT